TAAGGTTAAAACCTTGTGATAAATATTTGCGTTGTAATGTTTGCTGTGAAGATAAGAGCAAAGTATTGCCTGCAAATAGGCTAAATGGTTTCAAAACAAAAGAACCTTTAGAAGTAGTATTTGCAGACATAATAGGTCCAAAGAAACCCAGTATGGGGGGTGCTAGATATATACTGAGCATTATGGACCATTATTCTAGATATGGGTTTTGCTATTTAATGAAAAGCAAAACTGAAACATATCAACATTTTTTCAATTGGCTTAAGTTTGCTGAAAGAAAGTCTAAACGGCAACTGATAACCCTGGTGACAGATAATGGTACGGAATTTATTAATAACAAATTCCAGAACAGACTTAAGGTAGCTGGAATAGAGCATAAGAAGTCTGCTCCATACAGGCCAGAACATAACGCTTTTATTGAAAGAAGAGGCCAAACACTACAGGCAATGGTTAGAACAATGTTAAATGATTCTGGGTTACCTGATTATTTGTGTGGGGAGGCTACAATGTGTGCTAATAACATATTGAACAACGTTGTTAACACAACAACAGGTGAAATACCATTCACCAGGTGGCATGGCAGGAAACCTGACCTAAGTTACCTGCACACATTTGGTGCACCAGCATGGGTGCATATTCCTGCACAACTCAGAAAAAAAGGGCAACATAGAGCTAAACGATTTTTCTTCGTTGGTTATCAGGCAAACCATAGGGCATATAGATTTTGGGAAAAAGGCACATCTAAAGTGTTATGTAGTGCTAGTGCCCAATTTCTAGAACATGAAGGATGGGAGAAATTAGAACAGGATGCCAATAAAGATGTAATTATTGAATCCTATAGAAATCCCATTAGTTATCCCTGTAACTTTAAAAATAAAGTAAAGAGACAAATACAGGATGAAATAGTGCCCATAAAGGAAGAAACAGATTCAATAGCTGAACAGGATGAGGAAGATGAACAGGTAGTAGTTCAACAAAGTCCTCCTGTAAGCCCTGTAATTCCCAGAAGAACTACACGTGTATCTAGACCGCCTGATAGGTACCAGGCTAACACAGTGTGCCAGATTAATCAAGTTCCTAATTCTGTAGAAGAAATTAAAAAGTATCCTACTAAGGAAAAAGAAAGTTGGTATGCAGCAATGAATAAGGAACTGAATTCATTAAGAGATATGAAAGTGTATGAGAATGCCAAATTACCTGTAGGTAAGAAGTCCATTGGCTGCAAATGGATATTTAAGGTAAAAAAAGATAAAGATGGTAATTTAATCCATAAGGCAAGGTTAGTAGCCCAAGGTTTTAGGCAGAATGCCAATGACTACGATGAGGTGTTTGCACCTAGTCTTAAGGCAGCAACCTTGAGGGCAGCTTTAGTGTGGGCAGCTAGTAAAAACTATATAGTTAACCATCTAGATGTGGAAACTGCTTACTTGCACGCCCCATTAAAACATACTATTTATATGAAAAAACCTGTTGGTATTAAAAGTGAAAATAAGAATAATAATGATTGTTGGTTGTTAAAGAAAAGCCTCTATGGTCTTAAACAATCAGGCTATGAATGGAACCAGTATATTGTAAAGGAACTAAACAATATAGGATTTAAAGCTGGTTTAGCCGATCCATGTCTGTTTAAGAGGGAGACAAATGGGAAAGTATCATTATTATTGTTGTTCACTGATGATATTGCATTGATAACTGAAACTAATGATGAAGCAAATAAAATAATAGCATCATTAGGAAAGAGAATAAAGATCAAGCAATTAGGGGAGATAAAGAAATATCTCGGTTTAAATATAAAGAAAACACGGAAAGGTTTTAAGATATCTCAGGAAGATAAGATAAGCAAATTGCTAAAAGATTATAAGATGGAGCTTTGTAAGCCGGCTAAGACTCCAATGAGTCAGGAGTTTAGCAACACTGATGAAGAAAGCCCGGAGTTTGATAAGGTGATTTATCAATCTTTAATTGGTAGTTTGACTTATATAAGTAATTGGTCTAGACCAGATATTTCGTACTGTGTGAATCAGTTGGCTAGATTCAATTCTGCACCGTGTGAAAGACACTGGATTGCAGCTAAGAGGATATTAAGATGTCTTAAAAAGACAATGAATTATTCATTGTATTTAGAGCCAAAAGGTGATTTAATTCTGAGTGCTTATGCAGATGCTAGTTTTGCATCAGAAAGAGACACTAGAAAGTCGACTTCAGGAACAGCCATAATGCTGGGTAAGACATTAATAGGCTGGAAGTCAATAAGACAACAGCATATAAGTTTGTCTACTATGGAGGCAGAATTCTCCTGTTTATCTCTGTTATGTACAGAATTAATAATGTATAAACAAATGTTAATTGATATAGGTATAACTGTGGATTATCCTATAATTATACATGAAGATAATCAGGCAGCAATTCAAATATTGCAGTAAAAACAAGGAGCAAACATACAGATCTAAGATACCTAAACGTGAGACAATCTGTAAGAAGTAAGATGATTCAGCTAGAGTACTGTATGTCGGAGGACAATTTAGCTGATAATTTTACTAAAGCCCAAGGTGCCAGTAAGCACCAGGAGAGTTGTGAAAACTATGGGATTAGATTGTAAAGGTATTATATATTTATTTCACCCAAAAGGGGAGTATGTTAGGTATAACATTGATACCAAATATGGTTTGGGTGAATAAATATATAAAACTTAGATATCATGGTTTAAGTGCTTATCACTTTAAGCACAATGTTGCAGGCAATTAGCCGATTAAGGGTGCGGTTAGAAGTTACAATATAAGGAAGCATTAGAAGCTGGAAAGCTTACTGTGACTAACTGTGAATACAGTTTGTACTGTGCCTGTGACCGAGATGATCCTGTCTGCTACTGTTTGCTGATTTACTGCGGAATTCAACTGTTCTACTGTTTGAGCGTCTTGCTGAATATCCAGCGTTTGTTTCTCTGGAGAGAGGCACCGGAGGAGGAGAAGATATCTTTATCGGCTGATAAAGATATTGTAAGGACTCTTAACTTGGACTGTAATAGTGAGTCTTACTGGATGGAAATATAGTGAATGACAAATGGACTGAATGACAATGCTTTAAACTCTAAATGGAATCTAAATGGATTAAAAACTATTTAAACTACAAACAGTGTTTGTGTTCAGTGTGTGTATACTTTGGGGCCCTTCCACTCTCGTTTGGCTGCCTGGCTTGACTACTGCTGCAATACTCTGCTAGGGGTTAATCCCCAAACACTAACAAAGTGTGTCTACTTTCAGTTTTAAATGAATTTCTGTATGCTATAGCCATGCAGAATCAGGGCAGGTTATAACACTGAGATGGTGATAAAATTCCCCAAGAACCTTATCTGACTTTTTTGCAAAATAAAAAGGTTTCCTTATGACTGACCCAGACCTCAATATGGTATCAGAATACTTCCATGCAGAATCTCTCAGCAAGGTTGCAAACATTCCTGCCTAAGCAGTGGGTTGGACTAGAAGACCTCCAAGGTCCCTTCCAACTCTGTTATTCTATATTCTACATTAGATCAAATCATTTTTGTATTTAATACAGGTAATCTTTAGCTTATGACCACATTTGAGGCCGAAATTTCTGTTGTTAAGTGATACATTCATTAAGTAGGTTTTGCCCCATGTTACCTTTCTTGCCACAGTTCTTAAGTGAATCACTGCCATTGATAAATTAGTAATTTGGTGGTTAAGTGAATCTGGCTTCCCCATTCACATTGCTTGTCAAAACTTCACAAAAAGTGATCACATGACCTTGGGACTACCTGTATTTCTCTGGGATTTTAGGATGAAATTGTCCCACCACATATCGCCCAATTATTTTACTCAAGAATAATTGTATGACTTTCAGAAAATTCTGCAGCATCTTTCATCACTGGCCACATTAATTGTGGCTTCTGGGACTTGTAGTTTAATAACATCTAGTCTCTAGAGGCCAACCTGGAAATTACAGGATTTGGAATAGCAATTAAACTTCAGAGTTATAACATCTCATAAAAATTGAGGTTTATCATAGATTCATCCCTTACTGTGCTTAAAAGATGCACATTAGGAAAATATTCAACCTTATTGAAAAAAACAACTTCCTGTGTAAGTAGGAACTTAAATTTGATATTGGTTCCATCCAGGGGTGGGATTCAAGCAGTGTACTACCGGTTCGGTGACTACGCTTTGCGCGCACACATGCCTGACGTGCATTGCACGCATATGTAATAAACTTTAAGCTATGCCACCCAGACAGCTGAAAAGTGCTGCGTGCAGGTACACAGTGTTTGTAAAACCCACTTTTTTCCTGCTTTTTCAACCTCAGCTGTGCCGCACAAAGCAGCTGAGGCTGAAAAAGCAGGAAATAAAGGACAGGTAAGAGCCTGGGCCAAACAGCAGCAAACACAGAACCGGTTCTGTGTCTGCTGCTCTTCAGAGCAACCAGTTCTATAGAGCCGGGCAGAACTGGTAGCATCCCACCCCTGGTTCCATCTAGCCTTTATTATGCCATGCAGATCTCTAACATTGAGTATCTTCCAATTATGATTTCTTGGAAAGACCGGAAGGTTACATAAGTGACATCTTCTACATACAGTCCTTGACATGACCACAATTATGACTAGTCCTTGACTTATGACCACAATTGAGCACATAATTTCTGTTTCTATATGCAAGATAGTTGTTATGTGAATGTTGTCCCATTTTATGACCTTTCTTGCCACCGTTAAGTGAGTCATTGCAGTTGTTAAGTTAATTATGCGGTCATTAAGCGAATCTCACTTCCCCTATTGACTTTGTTTGGTCAGAAGCCACCTGGGAAAGTTGCAGATGGAGCTCACACGCTCCCAGGGTAGTGTCATTATCATAAATACAAGGGCCAAGCATTCGAATTTTGATCAGGTGATCATGGGGGAACAGACATGCAAAAAATGATCACTTTTTTCAGTGCCACTTCAAACAGTCACTAAATGAATGGTTATAAATGGACCTGTATCAACCATGCACTTGTCAAACACATTGTAAATGATGTATAAAATTGTTTGGAAGCTCCTTACTCTGGGATCAACAACTAAGAAGGTCTTGATGCGGTTCTCCCTCAAGTAAGAGTCTCGTACACAGCAAACTTCCTCCACAGTGTACATTCCACCCAGGTGTGACAAGGTAGCTTCTGTGATGTGAACTCTCCTGAAAGAGAAATGCTGTAGTGATGAGACCACAAATTACTGTTCACTGTACAAAATCCATTTTTTTCACTGAAAGTCAAATAAAAAATAGATTATTAATGTGGATCATTAGACCTCTGAATTAGGTCCTTCCAGTTCAGAAAGTTAATTTATCCATTAGAATAAAATATTTTTTCTGTGCATGGGGAAATAAACATCAAATCATCATGTCAGTGTGATAGATGTTAATTCAAGAATTCAATCCAAATAGAGGGGATTCACATTGAGAAGCTGGTTAAATCTAGAGATTCGGTTTGACCAGCTTCAAATCTGCTTGTTAAATAAAATCTCTGTGAGATTGAACGACCTCCAAGGTCCCTTCCAACTCTGTTTATTCTATTATATTGCTCACATGTTTTGTGTATTTACATCTTTGCCTGTGCAATTTCTGTTTTGTCCTCTTGGAGGCAGCACTGCCCATATATTTCAGCCAAATTCTGAGAAATACAGAAGAAGAGTTCCTAGTCATTTTATTTTATTTATTTATTTATTTATTTGATTTGCCAATTGTTTATAAGATAATAAGTATAAGTGTATACATAGTTGTGAATACATGAAATGGGTACATATAAGAAAAATAAAAGAAGAATAAGAGAAACAATAGGACAGGGACGGTAGGCAAGTTGGTGCGCTTATGCACGCCCCCTACAGACCTCTTAGGAAAGGGGTGAGGTCAATAGTAGACAGTCTAAGGTTAAAGTTTTTGGGGTTTGGGGAAGAAACTACAGAGTCAGGTAGAGTATTCCAGGCATTGACCACTCTATTGCTGAAGTCGTATTTCCTGCAATCAAGTTTGGTGCGGTTAACTTTGAGTTTGTATCTATTGTGTGCTCTTGTGTTGTTATGGTTGAAGCTGAAGTATCCATTGACAGGTAGGACATTGCAATGTATGATTTTATATACCATGCTTAAATCAGACCGAAGACGGCGTAATTCAAGGTTTTCTAGTTCTAGAATTTCAAGTCTGGTGGCATAAGGTATTCTACAACGAGTAGAGGAGTGGAGAACTCTTCTTGTGAAATATTTCTGGACTTTCTCAATTGTGCTAATATCAGATACGTAATGTGGGTTCCAGACTGATGAACTGTATTTGAGTATTGGTCTAGCAAATGTTTTGTATGCTCTGGTTAGTAGTGTGATATTACCAGAGAAAAAGCTACGTAGGATTAGGTTAACAACTCTTAATGCCTTTTTGGCTATGTAGTTGCAGTGGGCTCTAGCACTTAGATCATTAGAGGTGAGTATTCCAAGGTCCTTTATAGAGCTTGGGTCATCAACAAGATCTTGACTATTCAGCTTGTATTTTATTTTCTGATTTTTTTTGCCAATATGTAAGACAGAGCATTTATTTGTTGAGATTTGAAGTTGCCATTTGTTTGACCATTCTGATACATAGTCAAGATCTTTTTGTAGGGTAGCAGTATTGTCTGTGGTATTGAACAGCTTTACGTCTTTAAACAAAGGCACAAACACCTTTGAAATGAGACAAAAATAGCTTACTTTATTGGAATAGTTATTGTGAAATAAGCAAAGGTGATAAAGTAGCCAACCAAACAATAGTCTTTTAATCTGATCAAGTATTTTTGAGTTCTGAGAAGAAGAAAAAAACAACCCTCGCAGATACTATATCTGGCCATTTAGTTATTTACTCCAGTAGTTATTTAGTTATTTAACTCTAGACTTCCTCTTGTTAACTGTAACTATCTTCACTGACTTTCATCAGGACCATATCAGGGGTGGGCTGCTGGGGATTTGCAGGGGTTCGGGAGAGCCTCTAGATCCCACTCCTGGCTGGCCCTGCCCACCTTGCCCCGCCCCTCCCAGGAGTCCCTATGCGGCTCATTTTGGATGCAGGTAAGTGCAGGGCATGCAGCGAGACTCAGGGAGGGTGAAAAACGGGCCTCCTGGAAGTTCAGGAAGGCCAGAAATGGGCCTGTTTCAGGCCTCCAGAGAGCCTCCAGAGCCCAGAGAGGCCGTTTTCACCCTCCCTGAGGCTCGAGGAAAGCCTCCTGAGCTTGGGGAGGACAAAAATGCCCCTCCCGCTGTGGTGCAGGAAGCTGACTAGACCACACTCACTGTAGCCAGCAACCGAGCAGAGAACCCCTTGCTAAAAATTTTGAAGCCCACTCTGATCATATTACTACCACCACCCCTGATAGTAGATGGTACCAGGAGATGAATGGAAATAATCATTACATCGTCCTCTCACCCTTTTTTGGGAAACTCGGAGACTGTAAACAACAACCATTTTATTCCAAGCACAGTCTATACATCTGCTTCCTCTCCTTCAGTTGTCTCACAAAACAATGGTTAAGAAGCACCTCACTTCCCCACTTCAAACCAGTTATTTTAGGGTCCCCTTGAGAGAAAATTCATCCAAGGAGGAGGATGAAGATGTTTGGATTCAGATGTATTAAGAAGGATAGAGCAGGTGAAGATTGTTTCCAACTCTTGGTATTCTTTAGGGAGGCTCCTTTCATGTCCCCCATGTGATTTGTGATTGTGGCGACATGCGATTGTGGTGACATGCAGACAACAACACATAGATATACCTATCCTTGGTGCCCCAATCAGTGTATACCTCAGTACCTCATGGCAATTAATATTGTTAGTTTCTAGGCAAGATCTATTTAATTTGTACATGTTTTAATCTTGTATTTTATAGTTTAAACGTTATGTTATATAGTATGCCTTAATTTAATTGTGATGCTTCTGACACGAATAAGTGAACAAGCTCTTGGTATCTAGGGAAAGGCCAGGATTGGTCCTTTTAGCCCAAGGTAAGGTCAACTTTCCAAAACGTTTATTGAAAAATGTCCACAGAAACCATGTGTTCAAGAAGGAATTCTTCCATAGGAAAACTCTCCAAAACAATCACACATAAAACAACCTTGCAGGGTAGATTGGGCTGAGGACTGAAGAAACTGTGGATGGATACTTGAAACCAGAGTTGTTCATTTTAGCACCACTAACAATCATGCTAAACAGCTTGTCTTTTTCCCTGTTTTCACTAGCAACACTTCCTTCTTCTTTCTCAGAAAAAAACAAAACAAAAACAATCTACCATATATACTCGAGTATAAGCCGAGTTTTTCAGCCCATTTTTTGTGCTGAAAAAATCCCCCTTGGCTTATACTCGAGTCAGATTCCCCTCTGAAAAAAAAATGGTGTGGAGATGCTGCCGCCGGCGCGGCCCCAGTCCCGCCGCCTCGGGAAGGGAAAGGCAAAGCGCTTTTTGCCTTTCCATTCCCGGCTGGGGCTGTTGGGAGTCGCTGCCGCCGGCGCGGCCCCAGTCCCGCCTCCTCGGGAAGGGAAAGGCAAAGCGCTTTTTGCCTTTCCCTTCCCGGCTGGGGCTGTTGGGAGTCGCTGCCGCCTGCCTTTCCCTTCCCGGCTGGGGCTGTTGGGAGTCGCTGCCGCCGGAGTGGCCCCAGTCCCGCGTCGCCTCGGGAAGGGAAAGGCCACGGCTTGGAAGGCTGCCGCTGGAGCGAAGCTGCGCGCAGCCGCTGCGCTAGCATCGGATCGGGCGCGCCGGACGGTTCCGACCGAGCCCCGAGCGTCATCTTTGGCGCCCGCCCAGCGCCGCGGAGCTCCCTGTACCGGGAGAAGGGGAAGACCCCCCCCCCCGGGGTGGGGCAGGGAGAGGAGCTTCTCCCGCCCGCCCCTCTTTCCGCGCCCACCGGTGTCCCCGCAGGACGACCCCCGCCCCGCAGTCGCCGCCGCTTGAAAGAGACGGGCCGGGGGTGGGTAGAAAGGCGCCGGGCGCCCTTGGAGGAGAAGGTCCCGCGTTCGCCTGTCTGCCCGCGGATGTCAGCGGAGCAGCCGCTGCTACGGGAACAGTTTACTGCCATCGCCCTCAAAAAGGGGGCAACCGGACAGGGAATCCGAGGGCAGTGCTCGTTGCGTGCCGGAGGCGACAAGCCCCGCTCGGGTGGACGTGTTTGCCCAGAGACCCCGGACGAAGCAGCGGCAAAGCTCCGCTGACATCCACGGAAAGAGGGGCGGGCGGGAGAAGCTCCTCTCCCTGCCCCACCCCGGGGGGGGTCTTCCCCTTCTCCCGGTACAGGGAGCTCCGCGGCGCTGGGCGGGCGCCAAAGACGACGCTCGGGGCTCGGTTGGAACCATCCGGCGCGCCCGATCCGATGCTAGCGCAGCGGCTGCGGGCAGCTTCATTCCAGCGGTGGCCTTCCAAGCCGTGGCCTTTCCCTTCCCGAGGCGATGCAGGACTGGGGCCGCTCCGGCAGCAGCGACTCCCAACAGCCCCAGCCGGGAAAGGAAAGGCAAAAAGTGCTTTGCCTTTCCCTTCCCGAGGCGGCGGGACTGGGGCCGCTCCAGCGGCAGCAACTCCCAACAGCCCCAGCCGGGAAGGGAAAGGCAGGCGGCAGCGACTCCCAACAGCCCCAGCCGGGAAGGGAAAGGCAAAAAGCGCTTTCCCTTTCCCTTCCCGAGGCGACGTGAGATAGTGAGATCGTTTCCCAAATTAATTATTTTTATTTTTGAAATTTACCAGTAGCTGCTGCATTTCCCACCCTCGGCTTATACTCGAGTCAATAAGTTTTCCCAGTTTTTTTGTGTAAAATTAGGTGCCTCGGCTTATATTCGGGTTGACTTATACTCGAGTATATACGGTAACTACCTTTTGAAAAAACACCTTTGAGACAACTATGAGCTGGATGACTGAAAATCTCCACAGACTATACTCGAAAGCACATGCACTTAATTGGAATGTTCACTGCAATTTGTTTCCATGTACTTGGCATCCAGTAGAAGCTGCAGTGATTGTCTGTGTATCATAACATACAGTGCACAATTTGTGTTATTCTCATCTTGACCCCATCGTGTTATGGTGTCACTTGCACGCTTTCCCCCTGTTTACAGATACCTGAATCTGAGTCACATTCAAAGCTAAACTAAAGACATAAACACCTTCTGTGAGATTTGGGAGCACACAGCTCACCCTCTGATTCCTCTCACCCTGGCACGCCTCCTGCCTCCATGTGATTGGCTAATGTCACATCATCAGACCAGACATCATATTGCCACTTTTGGAGACCAATCACCCCACACAAGACATTTCCCGAATGGACTCCAACTCTCATATTGATGTCCACTCCGGTGGCATCACGCAGCTTCCTGAGGGAGGAAAAAAATGTAACACGGTGTTGTTCTATTTCATTAAGCAATCTGAGCCAAGTTTCTAAAAAGTTTATATATCCATGCCTCATTAGATAGCAGCACTCAGCCTATGCAGACTGGTATCCAAAAACTAAGCAGAAGTGGACTTCATAATTGTGAATCCTATAGCTGGAGGGTAAACTAAGTCATAGGATAAAAAAATCCAGACTAGAACAATGGCAAAATACTTCTGTACTATGGGAATGGAATGGAATGGAATAGAATAGAATATGTGGAATGGGATAGGAATGGAATGGAGTAGGAATAGAATAGAATGGACTATAATTTAGAATGGAATAGAAATAGAAATAGAATAGAACAGAACAGAATAGAATATGTGGAATGGAATGGAATGGAATGGAGTAGAGTAGAGTAGAGTAGAGTAGAGTAGAGTAGAGTAGAGTAGAGTAAAATAGAATAGAATAGAATAGAATAGAATAGAATAGAATAGAATAGAATAGAATAGAATAGAATAGAATAGAATAGAACAGACT